ATTACATCGTCTTCAGAATCACCTCACAGGAAATAATCATGTGTGACGTGTTCTTTTTCCAGATTACTGAAACAATATTGGTGTGCCTCTAAGAAGAAAGGCTGACGTGCTTTTATAACCTTCATAAATTCTCAGTGGTCTACTTACAGTAACTCCTCTTTCAGAATCGCAATTAACAAAATCAGTTCCATTACTGTTGAATGTCCACCGAAACACTTATATGAGTACAACATTTATACTCGAGCATAAAACGCTTCATTTTGTGTCCACAAATGTCCACGGCAAATATGAAGCTCATAAAAGAGACCCAATAATGAATTAGGACCGTCGTGTTATATGGGTAATACCAAAAATATATAGAAAGCTATACAAAAGCACCTCTCGGCCAGAAAAATAACCATAGGAGTTACTCTCAGGACAAACTACAGAATCGCAGAAACATGTTAAAAGATACTAGCTGAGAGTCATTTTCAAATGTTGGTTTGCAGGGATTTCCACATAAGCTGACATCATTTCGAGAATCATTCGAAAACCTGCAAAGAATGAACAGCTGTTTCGTCCTAGTTTGAAACTCTTCATTTGAACGCACTCACCAGAATTCGAAGCTGGGACCTTCCGCTTACAAGGTATGTCCATAGACAATTAAGCCACTGGAAACCGATGCAATGAACCATGAATTTTAACTTCTTCCCATTCGCGACATAGCTAGCTAATGTAGTCAACGAGTATATACCCTCACACCCTACCTGCTGCACCTCACGAGTCACGAATAATCACTGTAATTTATTTAATGAGCAAGGTCTTGATGACACTATCACAGTGGTTAGTACTCTCGCCGACCATGCACATGGTCGCGGGTTCGATCCCCTGCCGGCGCACACCCGATATCTATGGTCGGCCTGCAAAATTGGGCTACCGATATCACATGCTGAAAATTCCATACTTGTACCAAAAATACGGTGTGGAATCAAGCTATATTAAATAAATAAATAAAATAAATAGATAAATAAATACAGCCTATCATCTGAAATTCTGTCTTGATACTTGCTGCGCAAAACAGACACTCTTCTTAACATTTAACCGCATTTGCTTCCTCTCAGCTCAAAGAGATTTACCAATAATAAGAAAGATTATATCAAAGGAATGATAATTTTGGTGTTAAAGCCTGAACATTCTAATCAACTTGGAAATAAGCATAACGAATATGACCTATAACAAAATCTTCTTGTCATGCGGAAACCACCCACACATGTGAAAACAATTCAAGGAAATTATTGGTGGAAAGCAAATGAACCATGATATTACTTCACTTGCTATTAATACGCCTATTAAGTACTTGACATGTCGTCCAGCAGATTCTGTGATTCTTGAAAGTAGAGAAGATCAGAATAATCGATTCCCAGATTTTCATGTGAATCATGGTCTCAAATGTCTCAAACCTACATCTATTTTACTTACCGTAGCCAGTGTTTCTCAAGGCACCGTTATCTCTCCTTTTCTGGTTTCTCCATTCTTACATGATTGCCTCATTCTAATGAAACCAATTTCGTCTGATATACCGACGATCTGATTTGTTTCCACACCGACTTTCACATCCTCATCAGAGTGATCCCAAATGAGTAGCCATTTATCGGAAATTGGTCAGTGGTCATTGTCAAGTGATCTTAAGCAAAATCACAACTAATGTCAGATTGTTAATTTCACTTCCAGATACATACGTCATTTACATGAACTGATTCCTTCTCATGATTCTTGTATCATAGGCGTCACTAAGGTTGAAATTTGGTCGAATGTTGAGTATCTTGGATTGTGTATTTCTTCTGATCTTCTCTAGTCGTCCAACAACATGTTAATTCCTAAGAAGACATTTCACCTAACCTCCTGCATTAGAAGGTTGAGACAATCTACTTTTACAGTATGTGGATTCTTCTACTCCACCTATTCTTCTCCATTATCGCGCTACCTTATTCTTTGCTAGGCTACTCAAGAGAGAATTTGTTGCACTGCAAAGGCACAAAGGGCTGTCGGTTGGTCGAGTGGGGTTCGGCTGAACGAGCTTGTCATTTTTGCTGTAGATAGAAACTTGAACTTGTCGAACTCTGGGAAACCTCTCTTGACAAAAATCTCTCCTTGCATCTCATTAGATAGGTCTAGAAGCAAGACTCCATGGAAGACTCCATACTCAGGCGACTAAAAGTGAAAGCTCTACGTTACCTTATTTGGAATTTATCTATGTATTGAGGAAAGTGTTAGATGTGAAGTTTCTAACTTCTTACTCGGAACACAAATTAGTTTACCCTTTTTATTTTTTCCTCCATTATTATTCTTTTGTCCTTACTTCCAATAATTTTAATTTGACATTCATAGTTTGACTGACATTTGTATGAATATAGGTGTCCAATAAATTATTCTCTTCGTACAAAGTGATGTTATATGCGGAGGAAATTAAATCCAGTCTTGTACTGCATGATAAGAATTCAACATTTCTACCAAAAGTACTGGTTGAAAGTAACCATTTATAATTATTAACATTATACTATGAGAAATTCAATTCAGAGCAAATGACTAATTAATCTGGCAATGCGGTTAACAAAACAAATAATTGTGAATGAAGTTTGAGATGAATGGTATACAGCCTTAATGAATAAATCTGGGTCTGGTAGAAATGAAAACAGAGACACTTGAGGAATTAATGCCCGTGTCCTAGTACACCAATTAACGTACTCGCGGGATACGATGGCAGACATGGTAAGTGATACAGTTTGGCGTATTGAGACGTTAGTTGTGGTTATGAGCAATAATTTTACTCACAGCGTAACTCAGTTAATTCAACTCTATGTCATATAGAAAATTCTCACCTAGCATGGAGGTGTTTAAGCTTTTTATGATTACTGAAATATTGACGTGACGAGTCACAGATACTATTATTGCATAAAAGATTTGTATCTCAATTCATATGATAAATCACTAAATGAGATTTTGGTTTTACCAATAGATATATATCTGAAATATCCATTGAGTGATAAAGAAAGTAAAAGACAATTCAGTGCAGAAAATTTTCTTTACCAACCGAATCATATTCAGATACTGTAAAATCATATTTATATTTGCAGAAAAAGGTTTAGCAGTCTATTATTGAGTAATAGTTGCATTCAGAATCAAAGATGAATTTTGAATTCCATATTCTTAATGTTTTGTTAAAAAGGATGTCTGACGGTTCTCTTCAGAGATCGGTCTAAAGGAAGCTAACGTGAACTGTTCGATACAGAGATTTTTAAAGCTGGGTTACTTTGTCAAGGAAGAGAAATCTCATCCACTCCTTATATTCAGGAATATGAATGATATAACCGGTGGTACAGTCGATGATAAACTGCAGAGACTCAGAAACGTCGTCATTGAAAGTTAAAATCTGATAACTTTCATCGACAAAAACATGGAAGTAAAGCAAAAGCCTGAAAGAATCCAAATGGTACCAAAGAAACTGCGGTTTATGAATGTTGAATTTAAAGGTTGAGATTCTGAAGAACTTCTTATCCAGGTATCTGAGAAAAGCTTTCTTTTCCGATGAGCTACGGATCAGTTTCCACAGTTAACCAATGACTGATGGATGTGTGAAGAATAAATTGTTCCCTTGATTCACTTCACTGAGTGTTTATCAGTTCACTTCCTCCCATGGAGCTAGTTGTATTGGTTACACAAAGTGCACACTTTCCAAACGACACTCTGAACATTGTCGGTCATGGATAACAAGAGGATAATGTAAGAAAAACGTCACCAGCTCACTTCTCTAGCACCTAGTGGACTCAGGCCATACAACTCCACTAGAGTCGTCTTTTAAGATTATCTACGAGGTGATGGCATAAGGGATGTCAGGTTTCAGCATTTGTCTTTGGCAAAGGCACTGGAATTCGTCAATATTACCCCGATCTCTATGCAAGGAAAACGTTTGTTCAGTTCCTCCTTATGCTATGCCCTTAATCTCTTACCGAGTAATTCAATTTCAAGTCATTAATTCACTGTTATCACTCTTACACGTTCTTTTTACATACGTTCTCACCATCTTTATCCTTGTCAACTGGAAAATCAACTGCTTTCTCATTCAGTGACAATTTAAACCTTATCAAATTTCAAACCCTTCACTCCTAATTAATTATATCAACTGTGCCACCCATATTACTTCGTGATCAAATACCGTACGTTTTTGGCAGAAATAAACATGAATGTGCGGCCTCTGTAGTTGATTTCTTCGATTAAAAAATTATTATTAACCAAATTGTTGTTAATTTTCTTCCATACTGAACTACGTTTGTGGAAAAACGTCTACGTTAACGGTGGTGATATTCAATATAAGTTTCAAATTATCTGCAGCAAAAATCGCCAGAGAACTCAAAGCGACTTAAAACTGATTTATACCGTTGTGTTTTGGTGTACTCATAGAAAGTCTTGTCAAACTCAGGCTTCACTTCAATTTCCAATATAATTTACATTAATAAACACCTTATATTAAGCACACTATTAAAAATACTCTGAAATATGCCTCATTGCACATATGACCTCGGAACAACTACAGTGGAGTACAATGCTGTTAATATCCACTATAAACTAAAGAGTTGCTACCTGAGTTATGTGTGTGGCAGTATTATTTACTGGATGACGTTTCGAACACAATTTATGGTTCATTATCATATCGACTCTGAATTTCTGAAAGAATGTCAGTGTTTCCTGTTCTAAAGCTACACATCAGTCTCTGAAGTGTTGTTATGCTCCATGTTTTGACACTAATGTAAAGAACTTCAACCATCCAGGTGCGCTATAGGAAACATATCTGTCTTTACTTTTTACTTTTTGATATAAAGATGAATTTCGTCTGTCAGGTGAATCACTATTATTGCAATGAATTTCATGCAACTGTTGTACAGACATACGAAAGTACACACATATACATGTACGGAAAATTATAAATAACGTCTTTATATATGTCTGCCTCACTTACAGTTATACAGTTCCATAAAAATATTTTCAAAACAATATTGGTCATCATCACAGCTCACTGACTATAAGTAGTTGCGTAAACATTTTGTCAATCTCAGGGATGCTGTTTATAATTTTACATTACTCCAGCAAACGAAGTACACCAATAACTTCAAACTAATTCAGAATTCATGAATATTTAATTTTGAATTCTCTGTCGCCTTTTACAGCCAGTTCTCGTGCATTCATCCAAATGGAATGAATTATGAATAATGTTCAAAATATAAAACATTTTTCGTTTCAAATTCCATGAATAACTACATTTGGATAGTGGCTTTATGTATCATGGTGATAAATGCTGTACAAACAGATGGACAAAAGTTAGAAAGTGATGTGTTATGTAAGTTCTATGGAAAGGACTGGAATTTATTTTATTAATTCTTGTCTTGAAAATATTTTTCATCTAATTGACTTCCGACATGTTCTAGGCAACATGTTAGAAATTATTTTGGTTTCCAGTGAAAATGAAACAATGTCACAACTAGACTTTAAAATTTAGAATTTTTGTTGAGATAAACTGAAGCCTTCACTTAGGGCTGACTGTGCTGAATCACTGATGATCTTTGATATTATGTATGCGTCGGTGGTCCACTGGTCGAATGGTCGGTAGTCACGCACGTGGTCGAGGTTCAGTTCTTGGCCACTGCACTCCTAAACCTTGCTCAGCTGGCAGTAAGCCAAAAATAACAACACAAGCGCTACAAAAACGTAAACCTCCAAAGCTTGGAGCACTACGTTCCACTCAGAACGAAAAGGAATGAAAATTCGATGAAAAAGACAAACATCTAACCTGTTTTACTCTGTACTGTGTACGTTCATATCTAACTGTCACTAGACAATTAACTGGAGTTAGTTGCGTTTTAATGGTCAACTTATCACCTATCAGATGTTGCTAGAAAATTCATTTACTTGTGGTTAATATGTTCTAAAAGATTTACAAAATGTAGGCTCATACGCAAGTTTGAATCTCTTACTGCACATACTATCCGCCATAAATTACGAGACTACTCAGAGAATCTAATTGTGACAGAACCATCAGTAACAAATGAAATACTATTCAAATTGTGATTTGATCATTTTTAGTCTTCTTGGAAAGTATGCCTACGCACATGGTCTTCTGTAAGTTTGACGAGTGTCAGAATAATTTTCGTCACCAGTTATTGTAAGCTAGAAAGTAGGTAATCAGAAAATGACACGGGAAGTCATTTTATCCCATTTCCGGATCCATGATAGTGAGCTGCAAAATCGAATGCCATATCGTTTCTAAGAGTAATTTTTCGTCGTGACAATCTTAAAGTTGTATTTCTGTTAAAATATCATATTTTCGGTTATTTTATCAAAAAGTCCTTAGGCAGACGTAATCACAGATTTGAAAACAACATTGTTTACAGAGACACAGTAATGCACTGCATAAACTTGAAAACTAATTAATAATCAGAATAACTGTTGATTACTTAATACCCAAACTGATTTGCACACGTAGCAGAACCTTTCGATGTGTTCTACAAAATGTGACTCGGGGCAGAGTAGAAAAGTCTTATAACCGGCTCGAAAACATCTCACAGTATAATCAATATTCAGTTGGATGTTAAAAGTAATGCTAGAGCTTATAAGAGCAATGCAGTCGCGGGTGCTCTTATTCATAGTGAAGGTCAGAGCATATAAAGTGTACAGTTATTTTAGTATTTTCGATCACACAAATTAAGGTAAACACCCGTCAGGATTTTATAAGGATAAAAATGGAGTTCAGAGAAAGATATTATTTCCAGAATTTTATTTATTTATTTTATTCATTAGCGTTGTACAAACAGCATAGTCATAAGCATGAATTAATCAGTCAGAGGTGAAATGAAATGTCTAATTAGTTAATGCTTATAACTATGCTATATTGTAAACTACAAACGTTTTAAAAATTATGGTTGTGGCTACTGAGAATTAAATCTCTGAAAAAGCATCTTGAATATAGATAGCGTCTTGTTTTCTGTTCATTTCCACATTCATCACTTATACCTGATGCTTCCCTCGAATGCTCCTGTTCCCTATAACGGTTACAGTATTAAGCGGCAAGAAGAAACTACACTACCAAGATAAATAATAATAGCTACTTCAGAGAATAGTTTTGTTTGATGAAGGCATGCAGTGATTCACCTCGCCCTGATATGATGAACAGTAAATTGTACTGGAAACGTCATCATTAAATCATGCTGTATAATAAAATTCTACTCCACGGAAATGCTCAAGTTCTACTCTAATAATAAAAGCCCCTTCTTTTCAGTGATACCCGAAGACTTTCCCCAATTTTTTTTCTGTTTTAGCACTGAAGCTTTATATGTTTATCGTATTTTTAAAATCTCTCATACTTTCAATTTTTGCAGTGTTCGGCAAATGCTTTTTTACTATGCAATGTGTTGTTCTTATAAGTATTAGTATTAAAAACAATATATTCACCAGAGAAGAATCTCCAGATGTAGTGGTTTTCTTCTGCGCTTCAAATTCTCTTGATAGCTGTATGTGCGAGTGACGAGAAAATAACTACATTGAGCTTACAACCTAAGCATAGTCATTTCACGCGGTTCAGAAAACTTTGATTAACCAGGTAACAACGGCAACATTTTTGTCATTCAGAAAAGAAGAAGAAAAGTAGAGATTGGAACTCAGCCAACTATGACGCTTAATTTTTATCATTTTTACCAGCTGTTGAGAATGCTGTTTTTGTTTAGAAGAACATTATTTAATAGTCTCATGCTACAGACGGTTCAACAACCCTCTTCTATAATCAGAATAAACTACTGATAGAAATTGTATACTGCTTTCAGGATTCTATTCTTCTACCAATATATACGAAAACGTATCCACAACACATTTAAAGTTACAAGGCACACTGCAGATTTTTAAAGTACCCCTTAACACATTAACTGCATTTACGTCAACGTAACAGTTTACTACTTTTGTTCAGTCTGCCTATAGTTTGCTGGCAGACAGAACTTGAAAACTTATTTGCACACTACAATTAGAACCTTATCATTTAAGGAAACAGATAAAGCCAAAAAGTGGCATCCACTCGTTCTAAATAATATTTGCACCACCAATTCTAAGCTTTATATTCATTTCCTTCATTAAAATTTCCAAATTAGAATATAATTTATTTGCTACTGATAAATAGTGTGACATTTTAAACAAAGACTAGAAATCCAGTATAAAAACATTTTCGCCAACCGTTGACAATTACCATTACGTAGACTGTTTGGAAGTGGACTTGATGATCTTTAGCAAGTTACTGTTAGCCCTACATTTATATAGATTCCATTAAGTGTATCACCTTTTAAAGGGTATTAAGTTTCTTCAATCTGTAAACCAGCTACTTAATTGTGCACTACTGTTAGGCAACTAAACGGCCTCTACGCAACGCTTTCGGAGTAAAATGTTATCATGTGAGACTAGTAGATATGAACAACAGGATACCACAAGTTTTGTGAAATAGCAGCCGGCGCTTGTAGTAAAAAATGTGGTTGTTGGGGCTCAACAACCTATCAGATAAGGTTCTGGTGTTTTAAACTAATGTTGTTGCAGTCTAGCGTCATTGAAAACGCTATCACTTAGCGTAATACTGACACATCTAGCAAATGCTCCCTAAATAAAAGGGAATGCGCATGATGGATTCCACTGCTAACCGTTATCCATCAATGACATCACTATTGCTCATTAAATAGTGTGTCTGTTCACTTGAAATACAACTATAAATATGTACCTTCAATATTAAAATTCTATTTGCCATAATTTGTTAAGATTAAGGTTGGGGTGTGTTGGTTTCAACAACAGTAATATCAAATGCACACTTCACTAAAACTTCACAATAGTTACCTTTGATTTGTAGATAAATTCTCAATTTCATTCGAGAGATCTTATATGGTGTTATGCATCAATTTTTCTATAACAAGAACCTGAGCTTAAACATTAAAAATATTTGAATTAAATAGGTTTTCATTGTCCACCATTTGCCTTTGTGTTCACTGAATACGCATGCTTAAATTCACTGAAAATACTTTATTTCAGATACCGTCAGTACAAATTTACAATACTTTAAAGACTGGAAATAGGTTATTTCTAAAGCAATACCCACTTACAACCTGTCCAACAGTCGAACATAGAACCTCTAGGTTACAAGGACAGGTGGTCGACTAACCATCCACCTAGCTGAAATTCCATAATGGCCTTTAGAGTGTACACTACTGAATGTCCGAAAATTTTGATTAAGCATCTATGCAAAGCTCCTCAGTTTTAACTGGCATTCTAACTGATGTCCATTCATGACGAAATCTATATTGAAATTTGTCATATACTTACAACTGGACACTTGAAAATTATTTTCTTACCATGCTGTCCACCATTTCAACAGTCAAGTACAAAAATGTGGAAATATCACTGTTATCAAATGATAATAATATACTTCTAACTAACTGACTCTGCTACAGTGTTGAAAGGTATGAAATCATAGTTGTAGATCTCTTTATATCCAGCCTATTGTGTATAAGTTAAGACTTGAAATCTTGAAATCTAGACATTCAGTAGTGTTCAACAGTTTTTGTCTTCAGTAACACGTCTAATAGCCTCCTCTTAAATTACTTTGAAGTTCATGTGATTGAAAAGCTAACTGATAATAATTATAAATATTCTCAAAAACTATTGCTACATTAGTGAGGATGTTTCATTTTTAATGTATAAAAGGTGAGTACATTCAGAATATTCGTAATTTATTGTCTTAAAAATGCACACAATTCAGTTAAACAAATTTTCTGTAGTTTTTTTTAAACTGGTTACAACAGGTAGTAATGGTGTCTAGTTTAGCTAGTTTTATGACAAGCTATGCTTTACCTCTTCCTAATTAAAGTCAAGGCTTAAACACAAAATCATTTCAAATTTCAAGTCTTTACTTAGAACTCCAGTTTTCTTGACTTCCCCACACGCATATGGTGTGGGGTCCGACTTCCCCCCTAAGCCTCACCTAGCTGTTGGCAAGCCCACTAGAATGGGGATTGAGTTGAAAAGTGAGGTTAGCAACCCTAAGTCGTAAAAACAATTTGAGCACTACCAAAACTTTAAAGCTTAGAAGTTGAAGCCCTCTGTTACACTCAGAACACAAAGGAAAGAAAAACGCATAGCAAGACGTAAGAGAGTCTACGTAATCTGTAAGCAGATACCGTGTTTATTTTCCCTAAATTATAAAATTTAAAGAACTTTTTTGAATAATTACTCCTAACGCTCAATTTATTCATTTAACTAGTATTCTTATTTAAATTGAGTAGAGGAAATATCGACTCCAGTAGGCTTTTATATAAAGTT